AGTAGGTCAGCAGGGTCCTTCGCCGCCTCAGTTTCCCTCGGTACTCACGGTCAGTGTCAACCGGCAGCGCGGCACGCGCCACTCGGCTGAGCTCCCCCACCTCCAGATGTCACGCGCGCCTAATGGCCGGCTGCGCGGACGGGGGAGGGGAAAGTGGTCCATGTGGCGAGCCGGGCTAGAGGGGGACACGGGAAAAGACATAAATCTCGGCGAGTTTGGTGTCTGCTCCACGGGACGGAGGGTGAGATGAAGTTTCAGAAATGGTCTAAAGGCCAGGCTCAGTGGGTCAGTAGGAGTACGGTCGAAATACAGCTGACAGGATGTGGGAATGATGTGGCGACAAACCCGTTCACTACAGCTGAGCTGCTTCTTCTAGGACAGCGACCACGGTGACCGGCCGTGTGTGGGTCGCTCCATTCGCTGTGACGAGTCGTACAGCGCGCACTCGTCCGTCCGGTCCTGGCAGGGGCTCTGTTCTCGAGCCAGGGACCAGAGTCCTTTCGATGTGCCAGGTTTTGGGATTTTCTTCTTTCTTCCATCGGCTCCGGATGTGTCGTAGCATCCAGAGTTTCTCCTTGAGGATCTGCACCGTGATCCGATACGGAGCGGCGATCCTCACGGGGTCGAAGATAACCGCAGTTCTCCTGAGCGCTCCTCGTCTGGTCGTCTGCTTCTTACTGTCTCGGAACTGGGCACTCGGCGAGTCTCGCTCTTCGTCCCAGACAGCACCCAGAGCTCCTTCGGCAGGGAGATAGGTGTCATCGTAGTCCGCATCGGGGTGTGCTTGTCTCACATGTAGTGTGCTGCTTTGCACTTCACTCGTGTTGTTCATCTGGTTTTCGTGCCGGAAGTCTTCCTTTGTGAGCAGATCGGGACAATCTCTTCTTACTGCTCTGGCGGCTTCCGACACGGTTCGTTCTGGTTGATGGACGTCGTCCATACAGACACTGCTGTGTCGCGCTTCCGTGGTCTCTGTCTTCAGTTTGACTTCTGCATCTACATCATGATCGGTGACTGTTTTCTGCGGCACAAGGTCAACGGACGCCAGCCACGATTCGGTTTTGAAGACGGGTTCTTCCTTCTCGTTCTGGTCTGATTCTTGTCCGGCGTTCAGGTCCGGCAGGAGGCAGTTTTGAGCCGTTCTTTCTTGTCGGATGAACTGTTTCTGATCACCCGTCTCCTGGATATCCGCTACGGAGGCCACAGCCCTTTCACGGAATCGTTGCGGGACGTCAGTTTGACCTTTCCGCATGTCTGACTCTGCGGGTGGTCGATTGTTGCACAAGGCGCCAAGCACCTGGGCAGCAGCGTCGGGGTCGGAGATCACCTGGATTTCCGGGTCTTCGCTCGGTTTTCTGGCTGAGGGATGCTGCAGTGATTTTGTTGCCTCAGCTGTTTCACCTGGGTTCAGTTTTCGGAGGCGTCCTTCTTTCAAGCAGCAGGATTCTTGAGTCACCTCTTTCAGGTTCTTGTTGCTAGCGAGTTCTTTTTCCAAGCTCAGCAGGTCTGGCCCAGCGGGTAGCTGATTGTCGAATGAGATGCCAAGTACCTGGGCAGTAGCGATGGAGATCCATCTGGTTGTCACTTTCTGGCTGTCCGTAACTTTCAGCTTCTGGACACTTTCTGACGCCGGTATCTTATCTTTGGGTAACTCGTCGATCCAAGATGGTCTGCTTATCTGAGGGCTAGCTGGGACGGGGCTAGCTTGGAGAGGGCAGTGGGGTGATAGCAGAGGTTGCGGGAGTCTCGTCACTACCGTTCGCTGTCCCTCACGTTCAGCTTTCATGAAGTCGTCCCTTCTGCCGGCGTTTCGACGATCATTCATCTGCTGTCGCCATTGTGCCTCCAGCGCAGCTTGTTCCGCTTCGTCTTTGGCGATTTGTAGTTCAATTTGTCTTTTCATTTCATCTTCCTGACGCTTCAACTCCGCTTCTTGATTCTCTATCTCCAGTCGTTTCTCCAACTGCTTCACAGTCAGAGCTTTCATATGCACTGTGAGCCGAGCCTCAGCAGCGGCGCGGGAGACAGACGAACTGCAGCTCACCTCTGTGATTTGCTGTAGTCCGCGCTGTATTCTTATTTCATCATCCAGTCTTCTCAGCTCCCTCTCCAGACGCCATAACCCTTGTAGCGTCTGCCTCTTCAACTCATCATGTCGGCGCTTTATCTCCAGTCGTCTCTCCAACTGTTTCACATGCAGAGCCTTTTTTCGCGCCGTGATCTGAGCCTCAGCAGCTGCGCCGGAGGCTGACGAACTGGAGCTCACCCGAGACGACGCGCGGCGGGCTGGGCCGTGACCCAGCTGTGAGTCAGGGCGCGGCTGCTGCGGCGTCGAAGTCTCCATGGTTTCTTCTGTTTCTTTCATTTTCTGACCTATGCCGATAGCGCCTTCACTCTACGTTTTCTTTTTCTGTTCTTGGTTTTCCATTTTCGATGAAGTTTCCTCCGCTTCTCTTTTCTTCTGGCCTGATCCGGCCCGGAGGACCATTAAATGTCGCCGACCTTGTCGTGCCTCTGGTGGAGGCCGGGACATTTATTGTAGCGGAGGAAAAACGTAGGTGAATTTTGATGAATGTATTGAAGAATTCCGGACGATAGATGATGTTGAACGGTAGACGAGGGTGAAATTGAAGAACGCAGAGTAGACAGGTAGACCAGAAAACGCACTAGCACTGTCGATGGTCACTGTTGTCCGCCGAGGCGGACACACCGGCGCCGCCGCGGACGGGGGCGCCGTCGGATTCCTCGCAATACGCCGGCGCGCGTCGGGGCGCCGGCGAAATCGCGCACTGCCACTGAGCTACGTGCTCAGTGGCGTTCACTTTGGCAGCCCACTGGGGGTGCCCGTTCACTTTAGCAACCCGCTGGGGGTGCCTGTTCACTGCGGCAATCCGCTAGGGATGCCGTTCACTCTGGCAGCCCGCTGGGCGTGCCGTCGGAATCGTGCGCGGTGCACGATTCCGTCACTTCACTGACACCGGCGCACATCGGGGCGCCGGTGGAGCCGCGCACCGCCACCGAGGACTGTACTCGGTGGCGTTCAAGTGGAGACTGCCCGCAGCGACTCGAGGAGCCGCCGCGGGCACAAAGAGAACAATTAGGTTGTGCATCTAAAAACACTCAGAAAGCGACACTGGAAACTGGTGAGAAAGGTCCGAAAAGGCTCACGCAGCACGTTCGGTAAAAGGATACGGTGCGCGGCGAGCACGCTCAGCCGTCAAGTGGGAAGCGATAGCGCGAGTGACAAATTGTAGGCAATTAGAACATGAGACGAGAAACTAACACAAGAGCTGGTCCAGGCTCACGGGGCATGACCAGTACTGCGATAGATCACGCGTGGCTGTCAAATGTAAAAACGAAAGAGAAGAACAACAGGGCAGTTCATTTCGTCGGTGACATATAGCTCTGTTTGGTACTTGGAATTTGAGTTCACAGTGATGAGAGTGTCCAGAAACGGTACGTTTCCAGACTTACTGCTATCTTCCAGAGTGAACTTGATTCTCGGGTGGATGGAGTTGAGGTACTCGAGGAACTTGTTCAGCTCGTCCTGTCCGTGAGTCCAGACTCCAATGGAGTCATCAATATACCTCGAGTAGAACTCTGGTTTCAGCACTGCATTGTCCAGTGCACGCGTTTCGAATTTGTGCATGAATATGATGGCTACTGGGGGTGCCACCTTGTTGCCCATGGCGATGCCGACTCGCTGTCTGTAGAACTCGTTGTCGAATTCGAATACATTGTTTTCGAGGCAGTGGGTGAGAAGGCGGGTGACGTCATCTGGTTCTAGTCCACACAGGTCGATTTCGGCTCGGTGTTCGTCTATCATATCGGCAACTGCTGACACGGCTTCGTCTAGAGGGATGCTGCCATAGAGATTAACGACATCGATGCTAAATACTATAGCACCTGGGGGCAGCTGATGTCCCGGAAACTTGTCGCCCAGTCGTTTCAGGTATTCACCCGTGTTTCTGAGGTGTGCTGGAACCTTTTCCAACAGCTGGTTCAGGATCCTCTCCAATAACCAGGACGTTTTCTCGGTTGGTCCACCACATGCTGAGACGATCGGCCTTAGGGGAACTCCGTTTTTATGGTTCTTCGGAAGTCCATAAAATACTGGTGTTCTGGAGTTCGTCGGTGTCAGATCTTTGATTAGTTTCTCGGGGAGCTTATCTCTACTCGTTTGCTTGAACAGCTGCTTCGTTTTCGCTTCGATTTTGGCTGTAGGGTTGTTCGAAAGTTTATCGTAGTTCGTTTCGTCATCTAAGATAGCGTGCGCCTTCTCTACGTATGAGTCCTTGTCCAGTATCACCAGTCCCTTACACTTGTCGCTAGGCTTCACTATTATGTTCTCATTGGCTTGCAACTCCTTCAGTCCTCTTCTCTCTTCTGCTGTCGTGTTCATCGTAGTCTGGGCATGATTCTTGTACGTGTTCAATATAATATAGAGAAGAGGACTGAAGGAGTTGCAAGCCAATGAGAACATAATAGTGAAGCCTAGCGACAAGTGTAAGGGACTGGTGATACTGGACAAGGACTCATACGTAGAGAAGGCGCACGCTATCTTAGATGACGAAACGAACTACGATAAACTTTCGAACAACCCTACAGCCAAAATCGAAGCGAAAACGAAGCAGCTGTTCAAGCAAACGAGTAGAGATAAGCTCCCCGAGAAACTAATCAAAGATCTGACACCGACGAACTCCAGAACACCAGTATTTTATGGACTTCCGAAGAACCATAAAAACGGAGTTCCCCTAAGGCCGATCGTCTCAGCATGTGGTGGACCAACCGAGAAAACGTCCTGGTTATTGGAGAGGATCCTGAACCAGCTGTTGGAAAAGGTTCCAGCACACCTCAGAAACACGGGTGAATACCTGAAACGACTGGGCGACAAGTTTCCGGGACATCAGCTGCCCCCAGGTGCTATAGTATTTAGCATCGATGTCGTTAATCTCTATGGCAGCATCCCTCTAGACGAAGCCGTGTCAGCAGTTGCCGATATGATAGACGAACACCGAGCCGAAATCGACCTGTGTGGACTAGAACCAGATGACGTCACCCGCCTTCTCACCCACTGCCTCGAAAACAATGTATTCGAATTCGACAACGAGTTCTACAGACAGCGAGTCGGCATCGCCATGGGCAACAAGGTGGCACCCCCAGTAGCCATCATATTCATGCACAAATTCGAAACGCGTGCACTGGACAATGCAGTGCTGAAACCAGAGTTCTACTCGAGGTATATTGATGACTCCATTGGAGTCTGGACTCACGGACAGGACGAGCTGAACAAGTTCCTCGAGTACCTCAACTCCATCCACCCGAGAATCAAGTTCACTCTGGAAGATAGCAGTAAGTCTGGAAACGTACCGTTTCTGGACACTCTCATCACTGTGAACTCAAATTCCAAGTACCAAACAGAGCTATATATAAAGCCAAATCACTCCGGGATCATCATCCATCAAACATCATCACATCCCATGAAGACCAAGCAGGCAGTGATACGAGCCGAGTTTCGACGCGCCATCAGACTGTCGTCAGATGCAGCGGCACGTGCTCGCTCCTGCCAGAAGATACAGCAGCTATTCGAAGAAAACGGCTACAGGAAACAGTTGGTGCGGAGGCTGCAACGAGAGGCTACCCGAGCAGAGACACATCCGACGACAAATGGAGAGCACCGGCACCACAAAAAGCAGCAAGTACAGCAGCTAGACGGGTACCTGACTCTACCATATATCGACGAGACCGTCTGTGCCAAAGTCAATGCCATCGTGAGAAAAACTGATTTAAACTTGCGAGTAGCCTGGCAAAGCAAGAACACATTGAAAAGCCGCCTCACACGTTCTGCCCTCTCCCATCCCAAGTGCCCAGCAGGGTCGCGAGTTTGCAATACTTGTGAGTCGGGATTGAAAGGGAAGTGCCTAACCGCAGGTGTAGTGTATAGAATCACATGTAGCGTCTGCCAGGAAGGTGGAGAAGAAGTAACATATGTGGGCGAGACAAAACGGCCTATTAGGCTACGTTTTAATGAGCATGTCTTAAGCGCCAAGAACAAGACCCGAGACACACCCATTGGTGATCACTTTAGATCGGCTCACAGAGAATTAGAACTTCAAAGGGGTGAAATTCCTCTAACGGTGGAAATCATTCAAAAAACCGGCGACCATCCACACCGAAAGATAAGTGAGTCGCTACAAATCCGAAAGCTAAAGCCGCAACTGAATCGAAATGTATCATCGTGGTACATTATGTAGTTATCGGGTTTTATGTGCATGTACATGTACATGAGTGTACATGAGTGAACGTTGAAAAGTAGATGAATGAATCGAATACGAAAACGAATTTAAAGTTAATTTTTGACCTATTAGGTTGTCTATGATCGTTTTTATTGGGCCCATCTAACATATTCCTTAGAACTGTAGGTATATTGTGCTTTTTTATCACGCGAAGTTGTACAGAAACTGAAAAAACTGGCGAAACTGTAACTGCATTGGTGTCTGTGTGTTTTTTCGTGTCTGTGTTTAAACTGATATGTGATCAAGGCCCGTGGCCGAAAATTTGTATCAAGCTAAATACATCAAAAACATAAATAATTTGTAAGGAGGTCATTAAAAAGGAATTTACCAATCACCTACATACCTTACATACAAAGAGCACTACAAGAATTAAAATTGGGACCTGTTAGAACGTCGTAGTGTGGCTGCTATGGGGGTTTTCGGGGTGCTGATCACGAATATCATGCTAGTTTTGATCACAGATGATGTCTTCATTCATTTAGGCCAGGTCGGGTTAGGTCAGGTCAGGTCAACCAGTAGAGGTCCTGCCAGGTATTTGTAGTAGGTGTCAACCGCCTCTGACAGCCTCGTAACATGTTACGAAGGCACCAAAACTACTTTGTAAACGTTCATGTGGTTGCTTAATTCGAATTCAGCTCGAAAAAACTGACCTAGAAACATGTCAAACTCGAAGAAGTGAACCGAGGTCACCAAAGGTCAATGACCTGACCTGACCTTCAGGTGACCTTGACACCCACCCTAATGCATGGGGGCAACATCATATCACATGTTTGAACGCTTGAAACCACGAAAAGACTGCAAACGCGCTGCTAATGCGAGCCGACATACGCTGAATCGCGGTTCCGGCCAAACATGGTCTCGAAAAGTAGGTCACAGGTCAAAGGTCATTTGGGTCAGGGTCATGAAATTTTCAGGATGGGTGTTAAATTGATCAATGCGAGGGTACTGAAAGTTTCGTCGCGATCAGCCGCTTTTTAAGCGAGTTATTTGCGAAAAACCTTAGGGGGGTTGCATCAACCCCCCCCCCCCTGTGCGGGCGAGGTCATGTTTTGATAGCAAGACTGAAACAGACTTTTTTGGGTAGCCAGGAAATCGCATGCCAGAGCCTATTCGAATTCTTTTATCGGCCTTTATATGCACCAGTCGCATACAGGTACGGGATTTAGCATACGATTTCCAGACAATCGAACGACTGTTTGGAGACAACAAAGGAAGGAATGAGTGAGTTAAGTTGAAAGTATTAATTTGGTTCAAAATGATGATGTAGATAACCTAGTTATTTAAAGCTGAATATCTTATGACGAGAGCGGTTGGCATTTTTGGTATGCAGTGTTATTCATTGAGAACCGGTCGGAGCGTTTGAGTCTTTAATTTAGTGGTCGCCGCTTACTAATCATGCGGCATACACGCCGCACATAACCGCCAATGCCGAAACGTAGCTTAGATTTCGAAGTAAGCATTTAGTCCCACCCGGCCGAGCTAGCCTAAATTACTCAAAAACAAGTGAATGGAGAGCCGAAACTAGCCTGAATTTCACTCCAAAACAAGCCCAGATTTTCGTCACCTGCACTCCCGAGGCCATAAGCCGCCAGCGGCGGGTCCAGTCCGGTCAACGACGCAGAGAAAGGGCTGATGGTCATGGCCGGAGGGATGCCTAAATTTTTGGTCAACAAATCACGAGCGTCTGAAGGCGGAGCCAAGAAAACGGTGTCGATGTGGAGCAAGAGAATTGGCGGATAGAAGTGTTGTAACTTTCACTGGAAAATGACATCATCACGAAGCAAACTCAACGAATTCGACTCAGACGGGCACTTCGGGACACTTAGAACTGGGAGAGATTCGGATCGTGACGGGAGATTCGGAGAGAGACGGGCTGGAAACTTGGAGAGTGGAGACGGAACTCTGTTACTGAGACTTCAGCGGCAGATCAACAGCGTCTCGGCTGTTGGACAAGGCGGCCCGGCGGCGGCCTGGCCGCCGGGCCGGTCACTGAAGATGGACTAGGACGTCGACAAAGGCTCAAGTAAGGTCAGGGTGGAAACAGGCGCGCACTGATCCATCAATCCTTCCAGCCGCCCCACCCCCTCTTTTGCTAAATGAGCCACATGTACAGGTCTCGCGGGTTTTAAGGGTAGGTTTCATTAAACTGACCATATTTCTTTTGTTTTATTGGTTATACCAGAGCTATTACCTGCAACAGATTGGTATAACAATTTGTCATCAATATCTAGAGTGACACCTAGCTCAGCCTATTTGTTTTTCTATTATATTGAAAAAAACTTCGATTTGTGGCCCTCGGGCCCGTCGGAACGGCAAAAATCTGTAACTGCCTCTGACCGCTACAAGAGACGCTGGTGGCGCCACACGGCGGTACTACCCGCAGACATTGGTAAGGCCACCGGTCTTTCAATGTGTAGAGGCTATGAGACCCATTCATATGTTACAGGCAATGTGTGGAATCAGGCATTCTATAGAATACCTAGGCATTCTATAGAATGCCTGACCGACCAGGCATTCTATAGAATCCCTAGGTATTCTATAGAATGCCTGACCCACCAGGGATTCTATAGAATCCCTAGGCATTCTAAAGAATGCCTGATTTTCAGGCATTCTATAGAATGCCTAGGAAATACACGAATCTTTCCAACATATAAGTGTATGTTATATAAGATTATGAGCAGAGATCGACATGTAACATTATTATTTTCTGCCAGGCTACCTTGCGTTCAGCTATTTATGTTCATTCAGTCAAATGTTCATTCAGTCAAATTTTCCGGTCAGGTATTCAATCTGACCTTATTAGGTCAAATTGTATCAGGATTTCATTCTGAGAGTACAGAGTATTTATCTTAACGCTAGAAAGACGATGGTGGTAATGTCAATATCGGAAACGCCTTTGGTAAAAAAAAAAAAAATTACACAGAAAAAATTGACAAATCGTCCATTTTTGGAGGTGTTTGCCTTCTAAGGAATTGATTTAAGGTCAAACTGAAGAAAACGGCTACGAGCCAAAAATGGACAAAAATTGGGCTGACCTAAAAAATGGCTTAGCTATTTGTTTTAGAAATGGCACCCTTTCGAACATTGCCAAAGAAGAACTGAAGTAAAATTTCATAATTTTGAGTCTTTGACGACCTTTCGAATACCGCATGGCCCAGAAGTCAAGCTGGAAGGGGAGATCGAACAACACCTAATCCGGCTCTTGTTACGGCCGGGCCACCGCCCAGACGTGGAATAATGAACCATTTATTCAGGTTATTCCCTGACATTACGGTGTAGGTTGAGCTGTCCATGTATGTATATTGAGAGTCGTTACACGAAGTGCTTATGACGACATAAAATGTGACCTTTGGTGTATTTTTCACCTTCATTTCTAACATCAGAACAAAACCATCGTCATTCGCAATCACTTTCGATTCAAGCCTACGGTCCACCCTCCCAGCCAACACTCTTCTAATGCAGCTTCGTATCTGTAGCAGCATAATCCTCCGAGGGTAACCGTTTAAGCGACTGGTTGGCCTGTGACTCTCCCGCGTGCCTTGCGCCGTGGCTCTCCCGTGCCAACGGAATTGGATCAGCTGCTGCTTGCGGCGCACCATTTGGTGGTCGGCATAGCCCAATACCTCCCTCGCTTCCTCTCAGCTCATTGCCCTGAAATGGTGTGAGGTGACGACCGGCCTAGGCCAACAATGAAAATTAGGTAAACAAATAGCATTACTGCCACTGACCCCTAATTTTCGAAATTCGAAGTGTGTTTCGGACAATCAAAATACTTAGGCATTCTATAGAATGCCTGGGAGCTTAAGCCAGGCATTCTATAGAATGCCTAAGCAGTCAGGGATTCTATAGAATACCTAGGGATTCTATAGAATGCCTGGTCGGTCAGGCATTCTATAGAATGCCTAGGCATTCTATAGAATGCCTGATTCCACACATTGCCTGTAACACATACACTAGCCACACCTGAGGTTCAGGGGTCAGAGGCCGCGGATCACGGATGGCTGTCACAGTTATAGGGAAAAGTCCTGCTGCTGTTACGTGATACGGGTGCCTAAAAATCGGGGTCAGCGGTCGCGGCAGCGTATCCCTGTGAGGCCCTGACTGGCTAACTTCGTGCATTGATTTATAAATGCTGAGAAAAAAGTGTTTAATGGGAAGTAAATAATGAATCGTAAATTTTCCAACGGTTCCCTCCGTTCATTTTCCTAGCAAAAGCCATCCGTTCATAACGTAACATAATTTAAAACCTACCAGCAGAATTTCACAACCCCGTCATCATTGAACTTTCCCAGCTGTTGCTCGTTTCTTGAGACCAGTCCAGGTCAGAATCCAGGAAGAATAAGAATTAATATCAATAGATATAGGATTATTTAGATATTACATCTATCTTTATTTTTCAATCAATTCAGATACTGC